TCGACACTTGTCACCGAACTTGCACGATCCTTTCTGCCAGTTCCAACAGACCTGATCCTTCATTGGCTTAGGGCTAGTGCTCCTGCCACCCGGACTCTTTGATCTGTCACCCTTGAGGCTTTCTGGTTTCTTAGCAGAACTTTTGTGCTTCTCTTGGTGACTAAACTTGCATTTGTCTCCTCTAGAACATCCGTTTTTCCCATGGAAGTGGAAGGCGCATCCTATCTTGGACGTATCTGCTGGAGTCGCTGACCTGCCACGATCCCCCTTTGGGCTCTTCGTGGTTGATCTTCCACGATCCTGCTTCTTGTCCTTCTTGTTGTGGTCCTTCGGATTAGCCTGAGGAAGTACAGGAGCGGCGTCCTTCGGTGGATCGGCCTTGGTATTCTTGGGTTTCGCTTTAGGGTCCTTCTTCTCCGCAGCTGGTGTGGCCTTCACGAGGTTCCCGAAAGCTTTTTCCCTTTCTTTCTTGTTTGTGGTCTCAATTGATTTCCGTATCCACTTCGCCATGATCTCTCGTAACTTCTGATAGGTCTTATCCGGATCCTTATCCAACATGTTATCGTACACAGACAAGTCTAACGCCATAACTTTGGAATCCTTAATCTTGTCCCAAAGCAGGTTGCGGAGTGCTTTGTCAGGAAGCATGTCATCCGCATCCATACCCGATAAGATCTCATCCCACTGTCCAAGGAATCTGGAAAGTTGATTATCCCCAGGGAATTTTAGATCGAATAAGTGCTTAGATGCATACATCACATCGACGTTGTCGGCACTCCGAAAGCTATCGACGATCAACGCTAACATTTCTCGTCCCTTAACCATTCCCGGAGTTGTGCCTCTCGCACGTCTCTGCATCATCTGCCTCACCTTCAGTTGTACGTCATGAGATCTCTCACCTGCTGCGTGGATGATCGTGTGTAGGGTGATACCTAGCTTAGCATCTATGCTAGCGAATCTTGCTTCGCCCGATGTCTCGAGCAGAAATGGGTCATATGGTGATTTGAAGGCATCCGAGAGCCACTGGATCCAATCTTCTTGTCTTTCGTCGCCCGATGCCGTCACGACTGCCGCTACAACTTGGGATTTCCAAACCTCCAAGTCGTGTATCTTGGGCCATGCAGGGATGTTGATCTTCTCGTGTTCCTTCCGAGATATCTTGGAGCCACCCGAGCTAGAGGATGAAGCGGCACCATGTTCGGTTGCAGCTGCATTCTCAGCGTTCATGCGCTCCTCTTCATACCTCCTCCGGTACTTATTCCTCTCATCTCTGAGTCGTGCTGCATGTGCTTCGAACTCCATCATGTCCTGCTGGTTCTGCATCATACCTTCGTAGTACTCCATCGCCTCTTTCTCCTCGGACCTTAATGACTTTTCGGTGCGTTCAAGTTCCGCTCTAAGCTTGGTCATCATCTCATTCTCCACATTGGATTCTGATCCCATGTCTGGTGGTTTCATCTTCAGTGCGACTTTCAGCTGTGCTTCACTCGCGCTTGATTCGATCAATTCTTCCTGAAGACGTTTCAGCATCCTCTCTTTACGTAGAATGTCTTCTTCCAACATGTTCATCTTGACCTCAGCTTTCTTGAGTTCGACGTTGGATGGTTGAGACGGTCGATCGGATCCTTGAATCCTCGCCTGCGTCAACTCCTCGTTCGCCCTCTTCAATTGCTCTCTGATGGTCATGATGAAATTGTCCTGATTATAAGATCGGTTGTTGAGCTCCTCATTCTCTTCTGATAACCATTTGATCTTGCTTGCGTACATTGCTTCCTTCATCTTCATCTCCTCAGCATATTCGTGTTTGTTCCTGACACTCTGCCTTTGTAGTCCAACTATCTCCTGTCTATACAGATCCCTAATGTTCTCAGCATCTGCGACTGCAGTCATGAGCTCGGTCACAGCTCGATCTCTTTCCGCCGATATAGCCTGGATCTCTTCCGTGCCGATGTTCACGACTTGACTAACCATCTCTGCGCTGTTGCGATCAGCGTACTCCCCTAACTGGGTGAGACGATCCCGCATTGCCACACGATCAGTGTCAATCTGGTATTGCAAATCGTGTGCTGCTGAGAGCAAACAGTCTCTGGATTCTGTAAGTTGGGAGATTCTTCGTTGATTTCCATACCCTTCGACATAACATTCTTCGAGGTGTGCCATCACTACTTCGTGGACTTCGGTCTCGTGTTGTATAATCTGGTTCTGTCTCTGCTCACATTCGACCATCCATGCGTTTTGGTGGTTCAACATATGCACTTCGGCAAGTAGTTGCGCACACTTCGCATTGAGGTCTCCATCGGCCCGTGCTAGTTGTAGGTTGTCAGTGCTTGCCCTTGCTCCATCTCCAGCTTCGCTGTCCGACGGCACTGGTATAGTTGACCCATCCTCCAATGCTAGCACTCTCACAGCTCCGGTGTCAGTTCTCCTCCTTGTCTCCCTAGGGCTACGGCCCGATCTCGGTGTCCCCCCCGGTGGTGTCGAGTGCGCTGACGGGGAACGACTTCGTGCTCTACCTGTCGCACCTTCTCTCACCACTGTCAGAGTCTCCGCTTCGACCGTACCTGGACTAGAGTTGTGGGATGCACTCATCCGATCTGCGGCCGCAGCAGCTGCCCCAAAGGATGCAGTGCTGGCGTCGGATTGTTCCATCTTGAGTGACTGAGGGTAACTGATCTATCCGATGCGTGTGCGTTTAGATGGTGTTGTGTAAGGCCGTAGCTCGTACCCAGCTCAAAGGAGTCTGGATACGGCTGATAACCTGCGAACGGATGAAAAGCGTGCCCCTGGCCCCGTTCTAGCCCTTAGTTTAACATGAAGCTCGCGCGCAAAAGCTCCTTTTTACCTGGTTGGGCACTTGAGCCAAAAGTATATGGCATGTACCTGTATAGCGACTATACTGAGACCTCATCCCTATTGACAATCGTCGTAGTCCTAGTCCTAGTCCTAGTCCTAGTCCTAGTAGTAGTAGTAGTAGTAGTAGTAGTAGTATAAGTTAATAGTATTAGTTAGTAGTATTAGTTAGTAGTATTAGTTAGTAGTATTAGTTCGTAGTATTAGTTCGTAGTAGTTAGTAGTCGTTAGTAGTAGTTAGTAGTTAGTAGTTAGTAGTTAGTACTGGTTAGTGGTTAGTGGTTAGTGGTGAGTGGTTAGTAGTTAGTAGTAAGTAGTAAGTAGTAGGTAGGTAGGTAGGTAGGTAGGTAAGTAGGTAGGTAGGTAGGTAGGTTCGTTCGTTCGTTCGTTCGTTCGCTCGGTCGGTCGTTCGGTCGTTCGTTCGTTCGTTCGTTCGTTCGTTCGTTCGTTCGTTAGTAGTTAGTTAGTAGGTAGTCGTCGTCGTAGTAGTAGCAGGAGGGGGAGGAGGAGGAGGAGGGGTAGTAGTATAGTAGGGGTAGTAGTCAGTAGTGGTGGTAGCAGTAGTAGTGGCAGTGATATTAGCAGAGGTAGCAGCAGCAGCAGCAGAAACAGTTAAGCGGCTTCTAAAGCCGCCTATACTTTGTGCGTTGGCTTTCGCAAAAGCATGTGAGTTTACAGCTTGCACACTTTTCATCATAGAGTCATAGAGCTTTTTGAAGTTGCTCAGTTGTTCTTGTTGTTGATGCGTCGGTCCCTAGTTGAAGTGAACCTAACAGGCATATAACATTCAAAAACATGCATTTTCAACTTCTTCGCGCCAGTGTAGATTGACGGGGTCAATAATAGCGATGGCCTCGAACCTACTTACTTAGCGATGGCCTCCAACCTAATAGCGATGGCCTCCAACCTACTAGCGATGGCCTGCAACTTACTTGCTAGCGATGGCCTCCAACCTACTTACTAACGATGGCCTCCAGAGAAACATTCAAAATATAGATATTTCTTGTCATCGACTTTGCTTGCAAAATCAGCGTTTTCCCTTTTCCCTGCCTTGCAGCGAACATGTCGTCTGAACCGGGGGCAACAGGGGCTGGTCGGCCTTGCGCTAGGCTCCAAGCGAGAAACACCACGCATCAGTGCCGCATCAGTGGCATTGTTTCAACCATCTTCCCGCTGCTCCTAGTAGCGTCCTTGCTCCTAGTAGTAAGGCCAGGAGCCCCTAGTAGCTCGCTCCTAAGCGAAACGAAAGCGTCAGAAAACAATTCCCAACGAATGATCAAGTAGACGGCCCGTTTTCACACAAGAGAGTCTGCATCAAACTTGCAGACACATGTGTGAAGTCATGCTGGCTTTCCAATACAGGGCACTTATCTTTATTCGTTTGCACCTTTGTTTCTGCGAATACTAAGAGAACAAGGACGTCGATGAAGTCGATGAGAATGGTGCAACACCAGTTCTGGTGATGACCATAAATATCTTGCCCCCGCCCAAGACGCACAATCATGACCGGCAACAACAACAACAGTGACATGGATGATCATGTGACCAAACCAAAGATAAGGCTCTTACCCTAATAACAACGCTGAGCTATTGGTAGCATGCATAATTTCTTCTGATGGCTCATTCAGGGTGGCTTGAACCTCAACACCCTGGCCTCGCGCTGCTGGGTAAGCAGAGACTTTGTCCTCAAAGAAGGAACATAGAAAGAAGGAATCTGCAATCTTGCTGTATCCATTATTCTCTTCATGACAAGGGCTACGTTCAAGCTAATCAATTGAAGGAAAGCTGGGTAGCAAGCGACAGGTGGTGGAAGTGGCAAGTCTCCGAACCAAATCACCAGAACCGTCTTGTCCTTAACGAGAAATCTCCAATCACTCTGGACGGGCAGTCCGCAACTAGGTTTGCCGGATGTTGACTGCAAAGACTTCCCTACCAAAAAGCTACTAAGATCGGAAAGCACTGAAATGCGCTGTAGAGTAGAGTAGATCTTTTGTGAAGACAACCTACTGCAAGCATAGTACTGGCTACTTAATGGCGTTTCATTGCATTTCTGTGTCTTAAGTTTTGGACATCGCTAGCAGCTTGGAGGCCATCGCTACTAGGGTGGGAGGCTTCTTCTTGCAATACTAAGTTTTCAGACGTCATGGCCATCACGGTGATGTGCCACTTCCAACAGCTGCCGCGCCGCGTTTGCAGCTGGATCCTGAAGCCACTGTCTTTGAGAACGTGAACTCGATTATCTGCAAAAGTACGTTTTCTTTTTTGGGGACCTTTCTTATGCTGTTGATTGCTTTTCTATGTTGTGCAATGGATTGTAAAGTAAAGCAACTAGGTCGAACGTTCATGAACAAACGCTTCCTCTTAGTCAAACCTCCGACCTCGCCACCCTCTCGGAGGACGCTGGCGACGATGCGAACTGCCTGTGCCGTAGGACGTGTGACGTAGAAGCAAAACTAAAGTTGAAAGAACAAAAAGAGGCTTAGCCTAAGTGAAAACAGTGTTTTCTGTTTTTCGAAATAAATGTTTCAGTAGAATCAAGTAGGTAGCTAATCCTAGAGTAGGGAGTTACCTACATGCCTTGGAGAAAAGGAACCTCGAAATAGTCTTTATGTCCTTTCCTGTCAAAGAAGTTTAAGTCCAAGGAAAGAAGGCATTAAGAAAGTATTGTATAAATTGCATGATTCTTTCTTTTAAGAATGCGTTCTTGACAAGACTTGACAAGTCATTAGAGCAGTCACTAAAGCCTTTCGTCTTTTGAGTTGACAAGTGCACGAATGAACAGAGCTCAGCTCGGCCTCACCATCAGTGACCGGACCCCACACCCCATCGCTGGCGATCACCACAAAGCAATCCTCGCGATCTCAAGCCCGACCCCGCAAGCCGAAGAATAAGGTTCTTTGGACAAAACAGACATAAAAAGCAATAAGGTTCTTTGGTCTAAGGTTGACGAACAAAAGCAAGACATCAAAAAGATCAAAAGAACAGGAGTATGATGCTGTACAGGTTGATTATGATTCCCCAGACTGGAATGAAGTGACTGCTCCACCAGCACAAAATAGCACAAAGTGAGTCCTCTCGGAGATCCAAAGTGGAAATGAAAATGTCCGGCCTCACTTTGTCATAAGTCACTTCCAACACACTTTGTCAAAGTGTCTCAAAGACTGGTCTCGCTTCACTTTGTCTGAGAAGCCAACACAGCACTCACGACCTCACTCTTCAACAAAATGTGCACTTGGAATCTCTTGATATTTCTCTCCACTCCAGATTTCTGCGATCACATAGGTCGTGGCATTTGCGCCAGTTTTGTACTCAATGTCGCCAAAGCCACGTGAAACAGAAAGGCCAGCTAGGCCTGTGCCCTCAGTTCCACTTCAACTGAAGACCGGCGAAGAGAGCATTGCTGGGCGTCAATTGAACAAAGTTAGAAGCAAGAGAATGTGTTTGATAACGCAATAAACTAAGTTGGAGGCCATCGCTCCGCTACTAGAGTGAAGGCCATTGCTATTAGATGTTTTCTAGTGATTAGACTTAAACATCCATCCGGCCTTCTTGCTCGGCAGGACAATGCGCCAAATTCCACTCGCTTGGACAACTGCCTCAAAGAATGGTGGCACGGCAAGACCGTACGTTTTTTCTTTCACTGAATAATGATAGGGGTCTAAAAACGAAGAACAAAATCATGATAAGGCCCCGTTTAAAGTTCCTTACCTTCTATTCTTCTCTTTTTAAAGACCCAACTTATTGAAGTCTAAAGTTTGTCCTTACCAGTACCTTCTATGTCTGCTATCAATGCCGTTTGAACGCTCTTCATGTTTGAGGTCCCTGGCGGCGCCCTCAGCTTCAATTCGTTTCCGCTCTCCTGGAACGTCTGGCCTTGAGGTGGAACAATGCAAAGAATGGAACTTTGCTGTGCAAAAATTCAGAACTGTCTTATTTGATGTGTTGTTCTTAAGGAACATCTTCAGAAAACCACGCAATTTAGGTTTGGATTGTCAAAAGGTGGGACCTGGGACCGTAAGGAGCAGTAAGTGAACATATGTTCGTTATGGTCCTTTGTGGTGAAGTCTTGGCACTGGAAGTTGAGAATGTGGGCCACAAGCAACATCTCTGCGCACCAGGGCAAACACGTATGATCTTCTGACAATCGAACGGCTCTGCAGTCCTGGCAAAACTGGAGCAACATCCAACATCCAACACCTTAAAGGCCCTAGTAGTGGCCTCCAAGCTAGTAGCGATGGCCTCCTAACCCAAAGCGAACACCAGTAGAGAAAGAAAACACATAGCAGTTTGGGGTCGTGCAATCCAAAACCGTTTTCGCCATTCTTGGAAATGGTTGTTTGGCAATGACAGTCTAAAAGGGATGAAAACGAATGGTGCAAGAGTCGTAAACAGGAACCCAAAGGTTTCTTCTTCAAGGTTTCTTCAAAAGAAAAGACCCAAAGGGCCACCGTCCAGGCCTTTCGTCCCAGGACTGCGCGGCTGTCTCCCGCATTGGCCACGGCTAATCGCAAACGACCGTCCTGCCCATAAAACGGTTGATGAGGTGTTTGCGATTAGCCAGGATGGTTCGAACAAGAAACTACTAGGAACAAAGGGCATCGCTACTAGGAGCAAGGACGCTACTAGGGGTTCCTGGCATCGCTACTAGGAGCAAGAAACTATTAGAATCAAAAATGTCAAAGCTGGACTTTCAGGGAAGCCTCGTCTGGACCATAAAATGTGCAGGTGCTGGCTGTGCTTCCTACAGTTCGATGGTCAGTGTCCGCAAATCACGATGTTTAATCCACATCAAACAACCTGTTGCCTGCGTTGGCCCATGCAGCCGCTGGACCTGCCTCCAACCTGAAAGCATTGGCATTCAGTTGCGCAATGAAAAATTTGAAGACGTCAATCACGGCCTGTTGGCATACTGGAAAAAATTGTGCTCGGTTGTGCGGAATGCAGCTTGCAAAGCTGACCGTATTGCCATGTCGCTGCTGACCTGCACAGGTGACAGGTGCATGTTCCTTCCAAAAGGCGTCAAAAATAGAATTGATGTGCCGCCCTACCCCCCCCCCCACATGTGCACCTCTCTTTTCGTCTGGTGTCTGATGCACTCAAAGACCTCAAACGATTTTGTGAGCAGTGTTCCTTTACTATACCCAGGCATCAGTGCTGTGTGGCTGTGTGCTGGGCAATGCGGTCCAAATTCGTGGCAACGAAGTCGCTGCATGAGGCCCCTGACCAGGTGTGCATGTACAAGAATGTTTGAAACATCGAAACACTTCCACTGACCAAGACCTGCCTGAATGGCCGTCGAAAACGCCAAAGAGTGAGACGATGGGTTTCTTGCAGCTTGCGCCTCGAAAAGAAGGCAAAATCCATGTGGGCACCTTGTCTGCATGTCTTTGGGTATTCAAATGCCTGTCGTGCGCCCCGGCCTACCGAATCGACCGGGATTCCAGCCCGAACAATCATTCGGTCCTGGACCACAGCAAATTAGGTCAAGTCATGTGCCATGGCCGCCACACATCACAAAAATAGTAACAAGTGCCTTACTAGTAGTAACAAGAAGCTTCTAGTAACAAGTGCCTTACTAGCAGTAACAAGAAGCTTCTAGTAACAAGTGCCTTACTAGTAGTAACAAG